TCATTTCATCCTCCTCCCTTTTTCCCTCCTTTCCTTCTCTCCCTTGTCTCTCTCTGCATACTGTTCAACTCCCTAAAGCCAGACGACCCTCCCCATGTCCACACAAACGGAATTAACCACAACAATATCTGCAGTCGCGAACGAGAAACCAGCAGGTCCGAAAAATGCAGTTTCTGGCGCTGTCCAGATGACCCACGGTGGCAGACCAACTAGGTCCTATTCCCCTCCCCAAGACGCACCTTGCCCGGGTATGGGTCAACCTTGGCTTAACTCCCAACAGCCTGAATTTGACCCAATTTGTGGCTGCGGCGAAGAGCCTGTGCGACAGCTTCGGTTTTGACCATTTTGATGCTTCAATTTTGCTCCAATTGTTCAATTCAGCCAACAAGAATTCAATTAGCAATGGTAAGGCTATGGGTAAGCAACCAATTGCATCAATTAACACCTCAACTGCTGGAATTAAATTTGCCCATCTTCCTCCTCGAGATGCATATGTTCCTACTGAAATTGATGATTCTGCTGGTTTTTTCTTCAAAACACAGGTGGTGGTTGTTGGCAGTGGTGATTTGGGTGGTTGGTGAGGCTGCGTGGTGATGGTGGTGCGGTGGATCTAGGTAAGACGACGATTGTATTTACTTGATGTGGTGTGTGGTGGGTTGACAAAGGTGGTGGCAGTTGATAGTAGTGCAGGTGGATGATATGATGATTTTGGTTTTTTTGTGACTAAAAATATAATATGTGACCTTAAAATTCTATAGTCTGTGACTAACTATTTTATTATCTGTGACCCAAAAATTATATAACCTGTGAACGTGAAAAAATTCGTGACCAACTAATTTGAAAATCTGTGACCTGCAAAAAAACTGTGACCAAAAATTCATTTTTAATTAATTAATATTAATTAATTAATAAATACTCGATTTTTGTAAATTTGAAACTTAATACCTGATTTTTGCAATTGTCAAAATTAATACCTGATTTGTGAACTCTCCCCTTAATTTTACCAAGCCCGTTTACAACTTGGTTAGACTCGTACATCTATAGCGAAATAATAAACACGCGACACAAAATCTCATGATCACTCATCCAAAATTTTGGAACTAAAATTCCCTAATAAAATAAACATTCAAATTTCCAAAATACCCTTAGAAAACGATCGCAAAAAAAACTCTGTACCCCTCCTGCAAACACAATTTTGTCATTTCACTAACCAAACCAAGTCACCTGCACCCCACCAAACTGACATTACGTCCCCCACCCCCAACACTCCTCACAAATTTCCAATCACTACGTTCCCAGTTTGCACCCCACTGCGCACGTTAGTTGTCTCCACTGTTAATCATTATGTGCAAACCATGCATTTAAATCCCAATCACTGCACCCTCTGCTTAACCTACGCCCCCTACTTCCACTCTATATTATCACTGACCACTGCATTTAATGGATCTGCAAATTGAAGTACCTATAAATACACCATTCTGTATCTGTAGCTGATCCAAGAATCAATGCAGTTACACTCACTGTGCTAATAAAGTTTCAATGAATTTAGGTGGTGCAGATTGAAGATAAACTAAGAATAGGGTTTATTTGTGTATATTAGAGAATCTTTATGTCATTTTTGGAACAAAGCTTTGAAATCATTGCCCAATCGATCTCCGATCGGGTGAAGAAACCCAGTTTAAATCCCACATTTTCTTTCTATAAAACGCCGTCGTTTTAGAGATCGGAGATTTTTGTGTGAAATGAGCTGATTTTGTTGTTGGGTTTGATTGGTGGTGAGGATGAATCCACTGTGCTGCATTGCTCCGGTGTCGATCGAAAAAGATCGAGCTGTAGTGAAGCCGCAAACCGTCAGTCAAGAGCTAGGGTTTGATAATAAGAGCGTGAATGATCTGAATGATAATGCGATTTTGAGGCCGGTGTGTTTCAATGCTCGGAGGAGTTTCTCAGCTGGAAATGATGTTTCGTTGTCAAATGCGGCAGATTTGCGCTTGTCCGAGAAGGAAAAATGTGACGAAAATAATGAGGTGAGGGATTCAAAGAGTGTGGTTGGGATTTTATACAAGTGGGTGAATTACGGGAAGGGGTGGAGGGCGAGGTGGTTTGTGTTGGAAGATGGGGTGCTATCGTATTATAAGGTGCACGGTCCGGACAAGATCGTGATGGGTCCCGGGAGAGACAAGGGAGCGAGGGTTATTGGGGAGGAGAGCTGGAGATATATGAGGAAAGCTAGTAGCGGTAATGGGAGCGGCCATGGTTACCGTGGTAACGGATTCAGTTCAGAGAGGCAATGGAAGCCGTTTGGGGAAATACACTTGAAGGTTAGTTCCTTTAGCTTGGATTTATATATGAATTTGTGTATATTGTGCATGTTATTATTACAGAGATGTAAACTTAACTGTTGTTATTGGTTTTTCGTAGCTCTGTACAACTAAATGGTGAAGAAAATTTATTATATTTGCATTTTTAGTACGCATATTTCAATGGAAGTGTTTATGATGAGGCAAAAGGATGAAGGCTTCCTTTTTTGGCCTGCTTACTTTATTGCTGTGTCTGGAATATATCAACGTGTGTCATTTTGTGGGATTTAATTCGTCTTGGACTATTTGATTCTTCAGAGGAACCTATGGTTTGAAAAGTATAATGTGCTAGCAATATGTCACCAGGAACTTCTTTTCTGAAAATTGGGAAACTTGGGATGAGAAGTTGAAAACAATAGTATTCTAGTTTATTAATGTCAATTTACAGATTGCGTAAATATGCTTGATATTTATTTAAAAACTTTATACAGGAAAATAAATTATGTCATCTAATTATGGATATGAAGGAAAAAGCTAAGAATAGCCTCTTCAAATTTGAAATTTACCTTTTTCAGTCTACTGTATGAAGCAGATCAAAACTGGAAAAAGTTTTTAACTTCCTGTGGTGTGAGGAGAATGGCTGTGAGTAAGTGAATTGAAACATCAGCATTCCACTTTGCAGTCTGTCATTTGAAAAAGGGTATAACATGGAAATTCGATAAAAGTATGTGTGCTGTGTTACACTTTTAAGAAACTATAGCTGATGTGTAACCATTATTTGTAGGCCTGGCTGCCAAAAGTCTCCACTTCATTTTGATTTACTATTAATACCTAAACATAATATTATTGAAATCTCTGCTGCAAAGTTTGTGCATTGAGCTCTGGATATTTACTTGTACTGAAGGGACATTGTCATCTGATACTGGACTTACTATAATAAGATAAGTATTCAAGTTCTACAATCATTATATTCCCTAATCTTGTAGCCTGCTAAATGCCAAACAATATGTTCTACAGGTTTCTTCAGTTCGAGCCAGCAAGTCAGATGACAAAAGGCTTTCAATATTCACAGGAACAAAAACTCTCCATTTACGTTGTCAATCCAAAGAGGACAGAGCTGCATGGATTGAAGCCCTTCTAGTTGCCAAGGACAAATTCCCTAGAGTATTGACAAGCAATGACTTTGAACCTTCTGAAGAATTTGTTGTTTCTACAGAGAAGCTACGGTCACGATTAATACAGGAAGGCTTGAGTGAGACTGTAATAAAAGATTGTGAGTCTATAATGCTATCTGAACTGGGAGAGATGCAGAATCAGTTGAAGGCACTTCAACTGAAACATATTTTGCTGCTGGACACCTTAAGGCAATTAGAGGTGTTTACTTCATTCTTGTTTCTGCGTGCCTTTGACTTGGATTAATTGCTTTCTGAGTAATAAGCGTAGAGATCACATATGAGTATCTTGATTGGAGCTTTCACTTATCTTGATGTTCACCTTAATTCTCATAGTTTAATCCGAAATACTCTCTAAAATGTTTCTGTTCCATCCTCTATTGAAAAATTTCACTTTGTTTCCATGTAATCATGTATCTTGTGAACTGAGTTGATCAGTTTGGTATGTAAGTATGTATGTGATAGATGCAAGTTCATTCTGAACTTTGATGGATCATTCGATCTGTCAGAGCATTACAGCCTGTTGCATTACATCTTGTCCTGATTTATACTCCTGTTACTCATTGTTCCCCTCACACTTTTGCTCCTCAAGCCTTGAAATTTAAGGAGTATGATACCATAGTTTCTATGCAGACCGATAAAATTGAGTTGGAAACAACTGTAGTTGATGAAACTAAGGGACGGGATTCATGCTGTGGACAAGGGAATAGAAGATTCAGCGGTCAGTGGGATGTTTTATTTGAGTTTAAAATGATGTGCAACATAATTTTTGCCACATGCTTATGTTTTGCAAGAAATTTGAATGGCTAATTCGTCTTTCTATAATCATTGCAGATTTTTATTCAGTTATGTCAGAGGGCAGTGCAAGTGAATCAGATGCAGATAATGAAAGCCGATATGGAGTTGATGTTGAAACAGATGAAGAGGATGGAACGTTTTTTGAAACAAATGACTTTTTGTCTGCAGAGTCTTTGAGAAGTGCTTCCTATAAAAGTAGAGAAAATAATGGCTATGCTTCCAGACCTTGGACTTCTGATAATGAATACTTCTTTTCTGATCGTGCAAGAGAAGTTATAACAGACATAAAGGAAATTCAATATCCGTACATAAAAAGAAGGGATAGTTTACCAGAGCCAAAGGAGAAAGACAAGCCAGTAGGCCTATGGTCCATAATTAAGGATAATATTGGCAAGGATTTGTCTGGTGTTTGCCTTCCTGTTTACTTCAATGAGCCTCTATCCTCTTTGCAGAAATGCTTTGAAGATTTGGAATATTCGTATCTAGTTGACCGGGCATTGGAATGGGGAAAGCAGGTCAGCTACTCAGCTGTGCTTTCTTTTGTGGCAATGAAGTTTCTTAATAACCTTGCATATAATTGCAGGCAGTTGATTTAATGGACTAAGATGTTGAAGCATTGTTTTCTGATGATAATGCAACTAATTTTGACCTCCTTTCTTAGGACAATGAATTAATTTCTGGGAGGGAGGAATAATCAATTTGTCTTAAATATTTGCATAGGCTTCAATGTCATGGATAACGACTAGTGAACATTAAACATGTAATACACTGTTGTGCGATCCTGCTGTGAAGTGTACATTGCCATCTCTTCTCATGGTCTGCCGCTTTACTCTTTTTTCCTCTATCAAAATTCTATATGTAATCATGTCTTCATTCCTAGATTGGATCACATTGCAATTGGGAATTATCACCTTTTCCTCTGTTTCATTATAATTAAAAATAATATTTTGCCTTCTGCAGGGAAATGATTTGATGAGAATTCTAAATGTAGCAGCTTTTGCTGTGTCTGGTTATGCATCAACTGAAGGTCGGCAGTGCAAACCCTTTAATCCTCTACTTGGGGAAACCTACGAGGCTGACTATCCGGATAAGGGTTTACGTTTCTTCTCTGAAAAGGTTGGTCGTCTTCTGTCTTCTACCTTGGCTTTTTACCATCAGTTATTTTTTCCTGCACCTATACAGGATTTGTGCTTTCCTTTTGCTCCGTCCCGAAATATAGAAATGCTAGAGATAGTAAAATTATGAGTTACATTGTTTCATTTCTTAGCTGATGGATAACAAAATTTACTCTCAATTTCTCTCTCAGGTAAGTCATCATCCAATGACTGTTGCTTGTCATTGTGAGGGCGGCGGTTGGAAATTTTGGGCAGATTCTAATCTCAAGGGCAAGTTTTGGGGACGTTCCATTCAGCTTGATCCCATGGGGATTCTCACCCTGCAGTTTGAAGATGGTGAGACATTTGAGTGGAGCAAGGTCACTACTTCTATATATAATATCATAATTGGTAAAATTTATTGCGACCATTATGGTACCATGCGCATCAAAGGCAGTGGTAGCTATTCCTGTAAGCTCAAATTCAAGGAGCAGTCCATTATAGACCGAAACCCACATCAGGTACATTTCATGCTTTTTAACAACAATTTGAAGTTAATTTTTGAAGTCAAACCCTCTAGTTTTATGTTGTTTTCTTACTTCATTTTCCCAACTTTTGAGGATATATTATATTATCTATCACGGTTGGATGCCTATGGTGGAATGTCAAAATGAAATCATCTACCTTTGCATGCTTGTTACATGCATATTTATTGGGAATTAGCCTTGAGCTTGTAGTATACTTGTTACAAACCTCTAAGGCAAATTCACTACCTCAAATAGAGGATTACACTGCACAAGCTCACAAAGCATGCCTGTTGGCTAACAAAATCTCAGAGAACAAACAGCAAGCCTAACCAGGCATAGATGCTAAAGCAAACATGAGTCGGGCTAGAATTCACCAAATAAATTTGAACACACACTCACCTGATAGATCCTGTGGACAACTATTGGTGAGTGGTATAATACCCCAAAATATTTTATAGTCATTAATTATGAAAATTAGGACCTTAGTGCAAGATGATAAAAGTTGGGGAATAAAATTGCATATTGACCAATAGTTGAGTGACTACAAGTACAATTTTTTGAACTATATATATGATATGAATGTTTATATATATGTATGTAATGTGGATATGATATAGTATTAGCATATATATGGAAATATTGGATGGAATTAAGTAAACTTCTGATAGAATCCAAAGCAGGTAAGGATATCCGATTGATTGTATTACTTGAGAATAGGAAGAATTACAGGATGTTTCCCCCTACTGACTTTCGAGAGGTCAGATCTCTCCCCAGGAGGAGTTGCCCAACTCACCTATAGCCCTAAAGCCAGAATAAAAAAATGATTCTCTCTCAGAAAATTAGCTACCCTTATATTCTCCCACATCCCCCCTGCCACTTACATTTCTTATGAAAATAAAATAACTGAATAACAGAAAAGGAACATTCTCCCATGCACAGTCACGCCTACATCATCTAACAACCTGTCATGTGCCTAACACGCCTTGCATACGTGAAACGGATAGGAGGTTTATCAACTTCCTTCTTATATATGAAAGGATAAGTTAGGAAGATTTCTTTCTAAATAAGTAAACTATCATATATACATGAATATTATATATATAATTATGATTGATTGATTTAATTGTATGATTACCACAATTACGTGCGTCTATATGTATAATTATATACAATTATGGTTGATTGAGTTAAAATATAATATTACTATAATCACATGCCTCTATGTATGTATAATTATATGTAATTATGGATGATTGATTTAAATTATATGATTACAATAATTACGTAATTTATATATACGTGTGTGTATAACTATGATTGTCCCACCCTACTCACACAGGTCATAAACAATTGTTTGAGGTCAAGTTCTTTCATATGCGTTTTATGAAATCCTCTTCAAATTTATGAGGTAAGTGTAGACATACGTTGTATGTTAGATCGTTTTTCATACTTTAAAATACGGAATTCGATTTATGACTATGACATGGGTCCTATACGTTTTAGTTCAAAGAACCGGAGTTCAGTAGCTCTACGCACGAGGATTATGTATGTTATGATTATATATGGGGATTATGGCCACCTAAGTTTGGTTTCTAACGCTCGTCTCTCTATGTACGTTAAAAATTTCTAAATTTCAAATATGAATTACGATTTATGTGGTTCACTTATTGAGATTTTATCTCATTATTTATGATTTTTCCCTTTTTATGTAATAGAGGTTCGAGACATTACATTGGAGTTTGAAACTGGTCACTGGTGGTATAATAAATATGAAATAATTTATGAATTTTTTAAAAAACTAAATTTTACGTTGTAAGAAAATATTTTATTTTTAATTATTATAACTTTGGCGATAATTATCTTTTATGGAAGTTTTATTTTTACGATATATATTTAACGGTTCAAAGGGTAAGTTTTAGGTAGTTACAAATGATATTAGAGCGGGTCTACGATTTTTAAGACCTTTTTTCCATTTAAAAAAAATTGAGAGTTATAGTTCACATTAAAATTTTATGGGTAAAAATATGATTATGTTAAGATATTTTTTCGAAAAAAAGTCTGATTTAATGTTTCTTAGACCACTGCTACTCGACGTCAAGTGTCAAGCTTTGATTTCCTTGAATCCGGTAGAAAAATATGACTATTCATAATTATTTAATGTTATGCGAATAATTATGAATATAGCAATTATGATATTTCTAACAATAGCGACGTAGCAAAATATGGATATATATATGTGTTAATTACGAAAACTCATTATGGATATTTTAAAGTTATGAGAATGATAGTTTTATGGTATTATGTAATTTTAAGACTAGTAATTACGTTATGAAAAATATCTACTTATGAGAATAGTCGACATTAGAAAATTTATAAATTAGATAGTGGAGTCTAATTTGGAAAGTTAGACCTTTAAATGCTTTTTTTCCTGTTTTATTTTGACTTTTCTTGATTTGCATATTCTTAAAACGGAAAGACTTTGTCAAAATGACATAAACTGTCTAAGGAAAACTTGAGATTTATATTAGTTGGGCATTATTCAAATCAATGAAATGAAAATAGTATTACAAACTCACTTCAAATTTTAGCATTATCATATTTAGAAACCTTATTTTCAGAATTTTTTTAAGAAAATTCCATTTTATAAACCTTTATTTCAAAAATTTCTATCTTACGAAACTTCTATTTTAGAAATCCCAATTTCATGAAATTTTCATCTTGAAAAACTTCTATTTCAGAAAATTTTTATTTTTAGAAAATTTCATTTTACGAATATTCCCAACTGTTTGACGATTGTTTGGCGATGTCATTTAAGGTAATTTTCGAGAACAAAAATTTATTTTAAGAGGGGTAGATTATAATACCCCAAAATATTTTGTAGTCGTTAATTATAAAAAATTAGGACCTTAGGGTGTGTTTGATAGCCTAGAAAATTAGGTGAAAAAAAAAATGTTTTCCAACTTCACCCAATTAATGGTGTTT